GTGGAACAGTACAATGGTGGAAGTACATGCGTGAAGACAGTGTGTTCCGCCCCCCCCCCTTCGGGGGGGCTCCACTTCGTTAAAAATAACCCTACCCACCCTATGTCAGAGGTGTGGAGTGGATCTCGCTTGCTCGGTCAGTCTGCGCCGCGAGAAGAAGCGTGCGCGCGCGCACGCGCGCGCGTGTGTGTGTGTGTGTGTGTGTGTGTGTGTGTTCAATCCGTACCGACCGTTGCGGGAGGGGGCAGGTGTGACCTTGTAAATGAAAATGGTAGTTTGTTTATGATTTTAAAGGTAGCTACACAGGCATTTTAATAAAAATTACTAAGAAAAAGTATTACAATTTTTAGTTTTCAATTTGTTATATCTCCTAAACCAATGCCGTCCCCCACTTGATTCTTGCGGGGAATTACTCAGAAAACTCTCCCCTACAACATATCTAAGTGGCGAGGAAATCGGTGAGGTGTGACCTTTTCTGCATATTTACCGTATTTTATTTCTCAGATCTCTTAGCGACAGTGAATATCGATCGGCTAGCGAGACGTGCGGCGGTGTGTGACATGCCAAAAACAATTGTCATCGCAGCGAGCGGCACCGCGGCGAGCCTCAGATAACGAGGCGCGTGGACAATAGTTCCTCGACGTCTCGCGCGCGCGTAGTACGAGTATCGCCGAAAAAGTATTGTCGCGAAATTCTTTCTCTGCGGTAATGTAGAAATGGTCATGCAGGAATTAAAAATGTCGATAATTACCGACATTATCGATTTTTTAAATTCCGTTCAGATGAGGGCGCTATCTCGTCGGAGTTGGCCCGTCGCTCCAGCATCCCCTTAAGTGTTTTTTAAAGCATATGCTCGAAATGCAGACCTTCCATTTGTATACACATTTTAAGATAAGATGTGTTCAAGATAACGATACTTAGGTATCATACATAGTTTTTATAACAACTTTTATCAAAATAGTAAAATAGCATACACGCTCAAACGCGCTGGCACGCCGTGCGCGTGCCGCTCCTGATTCACGCGTTACCTAAAGCGCTTATTCGTTACCTTAAAGTTGCTCTTATTTGAAAAGTAATGTTCAGACGCAATTTTGCCAAAAGAAAAATTTACTTTTTTAGGCACCAATAAACACGCTATGAATTCCGAATGCGCGAATTCTGCGACACCCTGTATATATAGTTTATCATATAAAATTAATTTATCGATTAACACAATTTGAATGTGTTTACCATACGAGAAATTCACACGCCAGCTTATGATGCCCTTTATAGTATTTAACTTTGACAGTTCGATGTACATATTGATTGATATTTCATAAGGACATTAATCTCTATGTATGGCAAAATGAAACTATTTTCTATCAGATAAATAAGATAAAGATTCAAAATAATTTCTTTGTCTATGTGGAATTATAATAATATCGGAAAACTGATTGTCAGTCAATGAATGCCCTCATAGAACATCACTTCGACGATGTATGCTTGTGTCATGCTTGAAAGCTTTCTATAAATGATTGGTAAACTGTAACTCTTACTTGTTTAAAAACTGTTACAACTGTTACAGTCGACATTTCTGCAAGGTCTTTCGTGGTACAATTTAAGTGTTCTACAGAATCTGTCATTGAAAGAATGTCCAAGAATTTTAAGACACCCTGTATATGCGTAAC